TAAGAGTTACAAATTATCTTTTTATATATGATTAATTATACAAAAATGGTAAAAGCTATTACAGTCTTAATGTTTTCTGCAGTAATTCACATCAATTGAAAGAATATTACGCAGTCAAAACCCCAAATGTACTACAATTTATGTATTTTATGTCAATATACATCAGTTGTAAAATCCAAGACAAGCTTGTTCTGATTTCAATTATTAGAAACAGGCAGTAGAGAAGAGAAAGGTTACTTATTTTTTCCCTTCTAATTAATTCGACTAATTCTCTTTTTGGAGTGTTTTATATCTTTCTAGTTCGTTTTGCTTAACAGGATTACATTGTTTCCATATCTTTAGTGTGTGATAGTGTCTGTAAATTGTTATTTCTAGGTTATTTGTATAGCTGATGATGAAAGCGAAGTTAGGTTATTTCCTCTAAATTTGTTATTATCTTATTATATTTGCACATTCATTGCTCAAACTAATTTGTATGAAAAAATTCGGTGAAATGGTAAAAATCATCTCAACCTGACAATATGGTAAAGTGTAGAGCCAAAATAATGCCAACCTGTTGACGTTATGCTAAAGAGTAGAACTAGAATAATGCCAACATACTGACATTATACTAAAGAGTCGAAATAATGCTTGAAAGTGCAGTAGTTTAATGAGGTAGGAGACGTTTATAGGAAAAAAAAGGTCATCCTAAACTTTAGTCCAAGTTAATCAGTGCACTCTTACTGTTAATGATCCAGACTTTGTTTTGGAAATTTACACTGCCACTGTAACGAGTTGAAGTAAATATAGCTGTTTCCTTGCTTGAAAGCATCCCAAGACAATTCCTGTGTCCTTGTGAGTGCAGACTATGTTTTTCTAATTTACTGAATACTAATTTACATCTTTTTAGAAAACCATATTATTAGTACCTAAATACTATGTAAAGTGCATTTAAAGGTTTCTAAAGTCAATTGGAATTTGAGTTTTGATTTGCATGCAACCAACAAGAAAGTATTTTCTTACCACCTCTAATTCAAATTTACTGCAGTGACAAAGGTTTTCAAGATGGTCAGTTTTATATAATGTTGTTGAAGTGCCAGATTTCAAACTTATCTAGTTATTCGTTAACGATGGAAGAAGAAATGTATATGTCATTAAATAAATAAATAAAAGCGCCCAAGTAATTTCTAATACCTATTCGCCAGTATCTTACAAAACTATAATGTCTGTGAATTTATGTAAAACTAAATAAGTGCATTTTTGTGCATCAGCAGTAGATAAGATGGAACTCTGAACACGGAAGTAAACAAACGACCTTGACCTAATTTCAACAGGTTCTCATAAATGTAATGACATGCCGAGGGCAGTGACCTAATTTGTATCTCATTCATACTGATAAGTCTTCAACAACAGAGGACGCATTTCGACAAGGTAGCACGTGTAAATCATTTATAATTATGGTATGTAATGACCAGTTCTTACGATGTGATGCACCGCCAAAGAGCATGACTCAATTTCGGCAAGGTAACATATATAATTATAATATCTAATGACAGGTTCTCACAACGTGACCCACTGCTCGAGGTCATGACTAGATTTTGACAAGGTAACATGTATAATTATAATTATAGCATGTAATGACAGGTTCCCATGATATGATGCGCTACCTGAGGGCATGAATCAAACATATATAATTTAATATTTTGAAATGACCTCCATTGCATGTATGTTCAGGTCCCGAACAATAGCCACTTACATTAAACCAATAGATAATGAACAATAATTTAATTGAATGTACAGAATTTAAAAACAGAAAATTAAAATACAACAAAGTCTCTTAATTTTACAAGACTTATCTTCTTCCGTACTGGTCTCCATCTCATTGGCTTTTGCTTCTCGTGGGGTTCATCTACTCTATCAGGAAATGTCCTATTATCGGTAACAGTCACATCAGTGGTAGTAACTTCATTAACGGCTTCAATGTTTTCCTTCTCAAAACAGGGTAGAGTTTCTTCTTCGACAGTGGCTTTTTCAGGTGACACGTCTTCAACAGCATCATTTGTTCCATTGTTCACTTCATTCCAGCTGAAATGTCCTGGACCGTGATAATGCCAAAGTCTGTTGGCATGTACCACCTTTGGTTTACCTCGCCGACCACATTTTACCCGGAAAGTCACGTCTGAGAGACGATTCACTATGTCATATGGGCCTTCCCATGGAGAAGACAACTTAGGAGACTTCCCTTTGGTCTTCCTGGGATTATACAACCACAAAGCTGACTTCAGTAGATCTCTTATCATAACATAGCTTCATGGAATCAGCAGACGTTTTCAAGATTGAATGCACTTAATGATGAACATCATCCATCCTTTCAGATAACAATTTCATGAACTCTG